ACCCTGGACTGAAGTGGAGGGATCTAAGAGAGCTGCATTGATACAATTGGTCCTAGAATCATAAAAATTTATAATCAACATGTCCCAGCCCCATTCTATAGATGAGGAAAGTGAGACCCAGAAATAAAAAATGGCTTGGCCATGGCTTACACAGCTAATTAGTGGTGAAATTAATATTCCTATCCAAGACTCTTCATACTGCCTTTCTAGTCCCATGTTCTTTTCAGTTCAGAGGAAGGAAAAATCACCACAAACTGGGATATAGTAGTCATGGAGGTGGAATTTGAAGGATGAGTAGAATTCATATAAGCTAAAAGATGTGGGTTGTGGGAGATACATTTCAGAAGTGGAAGCAATGTGAATGTAGGCAGGAATACATAAAGTATCTTCAGGGAACAGAGAGTAAACCTGTCTGAATGAGTGGAATAGTTGGGTAGATTCAAATGGAACAAGATGAGGAAGGGCTTTGAATGAACTGCATTTTGAGGAGGCACACAGTCAGCTCAGAATTGTGCCTGCCTGGTGATGTTAGCCTTTGTGCTCTCCATGGATAAGTACTGTGCAAATATACCAAAAGATCCACCCACTTGTCAAACTTCAAAATACAGAACCTCCCACCACAGGGATTTCTTACAAATCAAATTTTATTTGTATTTTGACTGAAGCACAGATTCCAGATAGAGATTTCTCTTCTGCACAACAGTACAATAAGCCGGTGCAAAATATGCTTTATTCACGTACAAAAACAACGTGGCAGTATGATGACTGTTTATACTTCAGTCTCCATTCTCCACTTTCCACGTGCCCTTCCTCAGTCACATATACCTAGTCAGTAAAGCCACCTTTATCTAATGGTTCAATCTCCAGGGAAGAGATAGATTCCCATAGCCCTTTGGAAGAGAATCACCCAAATGGAACAAACTGAAAAAGGATACTTACTAATAACAGGACAGAAAAGCAAGGCAAACACCACATAAAACGAAAATGGGAAGAATAGAGTTAATGGCTTAAGGCACATAAAGAAATGCAGTAATTTGAAATACACATATTACATATTACTAATATTACAAATATTAGATAACACTTAGATAACGAACGTTAGTTAAACTTAGCAAAGAATGGAAGGGAAAACTAATCTTCCTTCCTTTATTTGCCCTAAATTAACATCCCTAAGAAATGTTTCCCCCAACCAGTGTGATATCCAATGACCATTCACAATTACGATAACATCTAGGCAAGTGGTGCTTATAAAGAAATTACTGCTTAAAAGCATTTTTAGTAACAGGGCTACCCAGATACATTTTCAACTTGACTCTGGAAACTCTGAGGTTGCAGACATGCTGGTGAGCATAAAGGGATGGCTGCCCACTATCTACCTGAAATAGGGCAGTCTTCACAGCTGGTTCAGATTGATTCCAGGCTTTTGGTTGACTTGCCTGAACTTTTTCCAAATCCCTTTGCTTTCAAGTGGTACTAAACCAAAAATCCTCCATAAACTAGCTTACGAAACCATAGGAATTCTCTTAGAAACAAAGCTGTATTCATAAAAGCACATTGCTTAACCCAATTCGCAGTAAGGCATAACAGCTGAATAAGTTCTGTTCAAAGACAATGAAGGAACAATAAGATACCTCCAAAAGTACCAAAGCAACAGCTAATTAAAAGGCAATAAATGGAGCTAACTAGAAGTTTAAGTGGATAGAATACACAGGGACATATATGTTAATACAGAGGTAACACACTAGATATCTCAAGTCCAAAATCCCTCCCTCATTTAGGATAGGTTCTTTTAAAGCCTAGTAAGGATTAGGTTATATGGAAGGTAACATTTACAAAGAATCATCAGGATGCAATCCTTATCAGTTCACATAGAGAGGACCTCACCCAGTGAAGCAAAGGAATTTAAATTATACTAAGGGGCCACAATAACATTAAAGTGGGCTGTTCCAAGTAGGTTCTCCAGCTAAATCTTATCAAGATTTAGCCCAGTAATGTAAGGAAGGGGCAGGGACCACACCTAGACTGTCCTTTCATAAGACTCAAGCCTAAAAGAGCCTCTAGACATGTCCCTACTTTCTCCCTGAGGCACCTAGGGTCCAAAAAACTTTTTTTTTAAGACATTAGCTTTGGGCTGGGTTAAGACAACACATTCACTGATTGGGGTCTTTTCCCTTAGAATGACTGTGGCTTCCCACAGATAGCTAGGAACAGACCTAGGGAATGAAAGGAGCTGCCTAGGTTTTTATTGGAAGGCAGCCCAAAGGGACACAGTTAAACTGCAAGCTCCTAGAGACCAGGGACTGTCTTTCGCCCATCTTTGTATCCCTAGTACTTAGTACAGTGCCTGACACATAGCAGGTGCTTAATAATATACTTAATGAAAAAAAAGGTATATCCCTCATTGCTCTGCCCCAACAGATGGGACATCCTCTCTTCCTATCTATATTGAAATGTACACTATTAGAACCACAGAATAATATTAGAGTAGAAGGGACCCTTGAAAGTCATTTAATCCAATCTCCTCCAATTTTACACACGTTGAAGCTGAGACTCAATGGGTAGTGACCTGCCCAGATGATCCATTTAGTAGCAAAACCTGTACTGGCCTTAGCAGCAATCTGCACTCCTCACTCCTTTGGGATGGGCAATAAAGGCAGGGTGACTTATCCTTAAGTGGCATTTAAAATGCACATTACTCAGGAGGGAGGTCATTCTGATTTTAGCCCCCCCCAATTACACCATTACATCAGTTTATCAGATGACCTCACTTATAGCCTAAAAGACGCAGAGTCTGGAGGAAATAGGGCACAGAACAGGTATATTTTTACAGTGGAAAGTCAGGTTATCACACATACCCAGGTAGCCAAAGAACACTACGAGGATGCATGATATCTAATGAAAGTGTAGAAAGTGAGGTTAGAATAAGTCCCTAGACACATTTCACTCATCTTGCCATTTCTTCTATGCCAGTTTCAGAGTTAAGAGTTAGGTAGTTTCCAAATGGGTTGAAATAACTTCATACACAGACCTTGGGTCTGCTAGTGCTTTCTAACAAGTCTCTTTGTTTTCCAATTGGTATTGCACCAAGGTTCCACTGTGTACCACTATAATAGTAATATTCTTAGAAATAGGAGGCAAAAGGAGAAATTGTCAATTAGGTGAATTTTGCATTGGAGTGGCTCAAAAAAGGGAGCAGTAACAGATGGGCAAAGGCTTGCTCTCTTGGAATGTCTTCTGGGGGTTCTCTACACTCTTGCAAATGAAAAAGTAGGATTGGACATTGCTAGTCCAAGCCCCAGTATTCAGAAATTTCCATGGCCTTCCATCAAATCCCTCTTCTTTCCAGAAAGCCAGAAAATAAAAATAAAACAAAACAAAATTTTGGGGTCAAAGTGAACAGAGTACCCAAGCCTTTTCAGAATATTTTACAACCCAATCACACTACACTGGGTATATTTTCACCTTTTATAATAGGATGAGAACAAAATTAGGATCTAGGTGTTTCATCTGAGAGACAGTTAGTGGTACTTTGGGAAAATCACAACCTTTCTGTGGTTCTAAGTTTATTCATCTGGAACAAGAATAGGGACAGGACCTCTCTAGATTTTATCAGTATAGTGAGGAAAACTATTCATATAGGTCTCCTCTGTAACTTATAGTGCTGGAGAGTTTCCTAGAGATGAAAGGTTAAGTGACTTGCCTAGGGCCTTACTGTGTTGGGGCAGTCTTAAATTCAAGTCTTTGTCCCAAGCCAGCACTCTGCCCATTATACCTAGTTGTCCCTCATTTTGCAAAATTTCCTCTAACTAGTTTGTGGTGGGGAAAGATCATGGGAGTGCACAGGGCTTTCCCTGAACCCCTGAGCAAAAATACTAATATATACATACGTATACACATATGAGTATACCCACATGTGTACATATACATACATATGTATATACATGCACATACACACTTTGCCACCTGCCAAATTAAAATGTTATTGAGAAAGCACAGCAACTGATTTATGTTGTTTTAATCTCATTTTTATTAAATACATAAGCTCCTCCAAAAGGAAAAGGTCAAATGCAGTATAAACACCCCTCAAAGTCCTAAGTGCAATCTCCCCGCCCCCCAAAAATAACCTAGAAATTTCAGATTTAGGTAGCCTTGAGCAATATTCTGCTCAAATGAAGGCATTAGTGTTCACACAGAATGGTTCTCTGGGCCTCAGTCTGTGACTGATCACCTAAGAGTCCTCCAGGAGTTGAATGCCAGATATATTCAGTTGTATCTGTGTTTCAAAGGCTTGTAGAAATCCTGAAGAGTACAATCAAACCCTCTGAATTCATACCTTAAGTCACTAGAAAGCATTTGACCTAACGTGTCTCATTCATCAAAGATCAATCACAGGTAGATTTGGTAATGCCCAGGTCAAAACATTTAGAAACTTACAGTTTCAGTGGGAGTGGGGTAAGAATTGGAGTTGGGGGGTGGGTGCTTTCTCACAAGATATTCTACCCTGATTAAACACAAAATGTGTAGACTTTTACCATTTGCTAAATAAAGGCAGTCTGGTATGGTGGAAAGCACTCTTAACAAACACCAAAATAAGAAATACCTGGATTCAAATGCTACTTATGGAAATTTCCAGTTGCGTAATCTTGGGCCAGTTACTCAACCTCTTTAAGAGTTTGAGTTTCCCCATATGCAAAATGGGTTCAAACAGGACCAACCTATCAGGCTGCTGTGAGGACCAAATAAGAATACTTATAAAGCATTATATAAATGTCAGTTAATTCATAGACTGAGATTCCTAGAGCTGGGACATTTGTAGAACAGAAACACACCTAAGAAGGCAACAAGCTTGGGCTCAGGGTCACTGGCTAAGGCCTCAGAGAAATGACTGGTTAATGAATCTTCATCCCCTTGCCCCAAAAGCAAAGAGTAGTTTTAATCAGTGATTTTTCCTCCACTGGGCAGTGGTATAAAAATAATTAGCACTGACAGATCACAGATTCTAAGTGATCCCTGTAAGTAAGCAAGTACAATGACGCTGAGTAAGAAGTTAAACCCAGAACAGTGATTCAGAATGCTAACCATCTCCATACCTCTTTGAGGGAGGAAAGAGAGAGCAGACTGGTAAGAATTTTTCACATAATCAATCTATTTTAGTAATGTATATATCAAATACATACACACTAAAAGTGTTATTGAATGGAGCAATCTCAAAAAGAAATTCCCATAAATCCAACTCTATTATTTGTACTACCTTTGAAGGCTTGCCCTATGATAATAGTATTTGGGGATATAAAGGACTAGCTGACCTAGTTAACAGTAACCCAGAGGCCAGGCTTCTTGGAAAAATAAAGCCTGAAGTGTTTAAACACTCTCCACTAGGTACACATATATATTAACACAATAACATCTAATGGCTACTAAAGTCCAAACCCCATCTAATGCCTAAATAATGTCAAGGTTTGTGAAAGGAAAACAGGGGGCTTGCTAATTTTTTTATACCATGAGGTGTTTCAGTTTGGCTTTTAAAATTTATTTTGAGGCTGATCCACATTAATTTAGTGATAACCAGGCAGTAAAAGTGGGTTAGTTTTCCAAAACTTTCATATTAGCCAAGTCTTAATGGCTAAAGTCAAGATTAGCTGAACAATGGGCTTCAGTCTGAAAATGTATATAGATGTATGTATCTATAGACACATTATATATTTAACCAGGGAAAGAAGAGACATGATGTTACCTTGTTACTGCTGGGACATCTGTGTAGCCAGTCTCTTACTTTCTACTCCCTGTATGTTTTTCTTCCTTTTCTATAACCTGGGGGCTATTTCCCTCTGCACCACTGACTACGTCAATAGAAGGAAAAAAATCTTTTTTTAAAAACTTTTTTGCCAACTCTAACCTGTTAATGATTTTCTGACATTTAGTTATTCAGGCCCTCCCCTGAAGCAACCCTTGACTTAGGAGATTTGTGAGCAGTATGGGTGAGAGCTCACAGCAGGTTAATAGCTCTTCACCAGCACCCCAGAGGCAGAATAGGGAAGGGGTCACCAAAGGAAACAAGCTCTTGGAGGTGGTGAGGGTGAGGGTGGGGGTTCCTGTTCCAGCCAACCCACTTAACTCCTGAACTCACTGAAGTTGCAGCTACATTTACTCAAGGAGCCTCGTTGCTTTGCCATTCAAGGTGTGAGCTCTGAAGGGGAAAAAAAAACAAACTCTGAAGGGGAAGATAGGATAAAATTGATCCAGATCTCACAAGCAGGTACATATGTGCCCAGTTCATAAAGATCACAGTGATTAAGAGTCAAAACTACTCATTTGAGCACAAAGAGTCGGACATGACTGAAAATGACCGAACAGCAACAGAAAGCTCCATGAGGAGAGGCAGCTGGATGTAGTCTTACTTGTTATTACTTTTCCACTTCAGAATATTTTCTTCATTTACAAAGACCCACGAGCTCTTTTAAATGCAAAGCATCATGCATGAGTGACTGAGATAGGATGCCTCTAGAAGGGAAGTGGCCTGCGCTCCCATTTTAAGTTTCCTATATTTTTCTGCCTACTGGCCAGCTTCAGTACAGAGGAAGATGAGCTCTAGAAATGCTTTAAATTTAAGTAAGTTAACAGAATTAGATGAAACCCTCTTTTATAATTAAATTTTATCATTATAGCTCTACCCACCTGTAGGTGTGGGTAGACACTCAGCTTGGGCAAAGCCCTTCCACATGGACTACAACCCTTTATTTCTCCCCAAGTAAAGTGTCTTGTTAAGCCCCTTAAGAGTGGAAATGGCTTCATTCTTTGTATTTGCATCCCTAGTGCCTAGCAAAGTCCCTGGCATAATATGTAGTTAATAAATGCTGATCGATTGATAGTCCACTAAAAAAGAGCACAGGGCCAGGAGTCAGAAGACTAGGGTTCTAATCCCAGTTCTGCCAGTAAGTGCATGACCTTAGACAAGTCATCTGGGTCTCAGTTTTCCTAGCTGTCAAATGGGAACAATAATAGATGTCCCCAGTCTACTTCATCTTTGTGATGATCAAATGAACTAACAATGTGAAAATCCCCCCCCCCAAAACATTTTAAAAGCACCTCAAGGCAATATATGCTACTCAGATTGGCTAAGGAAGGAGAAATGGTACTGGGGACTACATGGGGCACAATTAATAGGTACCACTTAACCAAAAGTAATCTGAATGAAAGAAAACAGAACAAATTCAAAATGAACAGAAAACAAGAAACCTCTTAGGTCACCAGCACAACATATACTGTGGTTTCACATACAGCATCGCAAGGGTATTTATGCCCTTTACAACCACAGATAGTTAAGGCCCTGAGACAATCTGGTTCACTGGGTTCTAGAAACCATTAATAAACAATAGTCTAATCCAATTCCACTCTGCCAAACTCAAATGCAAATCGCCAACAACTGCAGATCTAAGAGCCAGAATTTTCATGAGGCACACTTAGGCCCCATGCATATTTCACCGATGTCCTAAGGACTAGAAGGGACCTTAAAATATCATCTAGTCCCTTCCACATCTTCAATCAAGATTGCTTTAAACTTTCCCCTACAGATGAGACAGGCCAGAACTATGACAGGTAGCACGTAGAAAAAAAAGTTATCTTACCAAACCTAGTGGAGTCAATAATATTCACAAAGGTCATTCCCCAGTTAAATTTTGTATATAAACCCGAGAACTCTGGTACCATAATTGTCAAAACCATTTCAGGGTTAACTAGAAATTCAGGGGCTTTTTCCTTTCCCAGCCATTACCAATCTAACAAATGTTTAAAAGAAAAGATAAAATTAAAAGCACACCAAACCACAGGATAGGCTGTGGCCTATACTTTAAGCCCCATTTCAATTATCCTTTGTGAAAGTCAATATCCACTTTCTTTAGCTGTGGAATCCTTAGAAAATGCTCCAATCTTACCTCGAGGGCCCCAGAAGTCTTCCCAAGGAACATTTATCAATACAGTGGGTAATACAAACAAAGTGGGGCATTCACAAACATCTGAGTGAAGATACGACTGCAACAAAGCATGCCCTGGGAGAGGTTGTTCCATACTTTAAAAATGTACAAAATTATTCTGAAACACGGATAGGGAAGGAAGGAGGGCGAGCAACAGAGATAGGATAACAACACAAAATGAACCCACATCTGTTACATCATTAAACCTCAAGAGGAAAAGAAAAGGGGAGGCATTCCCCAAAAGAAATGAAAAGGGGAAGTACTTCTAGGAGCCTTGACGACTTGGCAGAGCAGGTTACTAGCATCCAGCAGTTTTACCCACAGATCCATTTAGTCAATGAGAAGGCGCTGATGTGAAACAAGAGGACTGGGAGACAGGGAAGCCAAGGAATTCAAAGGGTAAAAAATTCAAACCCAGGCTCCTCCCCAGGAGTGAGCTTCAGAGGGAAAAAAAATGAGTGCTGTTGTTTTTTCCTTCTAGAATGACATGGCTAGTGAACAAGGATGAGAAAATTGGAGAGCTTAAGAAGGCCTGAGGACAAAGAAGTGAGGGAGGGGATGGGAGCACATTTTCTGGACAATGTCTTTTCTTCCATCTCTGCCAAGTTGTCATTGTCATCGCTGTTTCCTGTAATTGTGGTGGTCCCCTTTGAGCTTTCGCTTTTTTTTTTTCCAAACAAGTCTCTGTATTTTGCAGCTGGGGTGATGTCTACGTGGAAGGGAGAAGGGAGAAAGAAAGGGGTGCCTTGGAGTCTGATGTGGTCTGGCATTCAGAGTCCGCATTTCAAGATGATGTGGTAGCCATCATTGCTTTCAGCTACAACAAAGAAACAATGGACTTTTTCAAGGAAGAAGGCCAAAGAATTATTAAACATGTTTAAAAAACCAAATTCCCAGCTATGAAATTATAATCATCAAGCTTGACCTCAGAGCAGAGATATAACAAGTCACCTTCTCCCTCCAACCCACACTCTGTCTTTGCAGAAGGAATATTACCTACAATCTCAGGTTTCTTCAATGGATTGGTTAGTTTTACTAAACTGTCAAATCTCTGAAAACTTAAGGCATTTATTTCCAGCTTATTTTAATTAACCTGTCCCTAAGGGAGGATCTTACAGGCCAAAAAACAAAACAAAACATGGAGTTTTCTTAGCACCCAAAAGTTTCATTCAGAAGGGGTTCATCAAACAATAAAGCTGTGTCTTTTCTCAGGCCAATGTCATCGGTTATAGAAATAAACATGTGATTGAACGCTCCAAGTCATTTATGAATTCATTATTAGAGAACCATATATGTTCAAGCCAATATTTTGAATGGTTGTCTTCTGTTCTCTCAAATTTCATTTAAAGTAACTATTTCATATATTTCTACCTCTACCTACTATTTTCAAGCTCACAAAGACCATCTGATATGCAGGGAACAATGAAGAGTTCTTTTCATAGGCCCCTCTTTCAAATTTCAAAAGTTACATTTGGGTCAACACAATTTCACTTAACTAAATTTCCACGTGGTGCTTTTTTCTCTCTCGGTAGTATTTATCAGGACAAAGCCACTGATACCATGTGTCTCCCCCACCACATATACCAGATCTCTCATGAGAGGGAGTCTCAGACCTAGCTAGGTAGGCATCATTCCTTGTTCCCAATTTCAATCTGCCCTAGCAACTTCTTCTGACTACTATACTGCAATCAAAAGTACTTCATTTTTTTTTAAATGGCAAAAGATGTCATACCTTTTAACGTGCTGATAACAAAACAAGATTCATCTTGGAAATTCTGTACCATCTGAAAGACAAAAAGAAAAAGAAAAAAAAATGGCACCTTCTTTCAGCAACCCAAATATGTAGGACAAAACCCAGAGAGACAGCTAACCTTCCATTTTGTAGTACTGACCATGCACAAAAATCTTAGTTATCCTTATGTAGATGTACAAATCAAGACTGCCAAGAGGGGGGCAAATAAATGATAATGGAAATCTCTATGATTCTGTTTTGGGAGAGACAGATGGTAGTCAGAGTCTTGGACTTGGAATCAGGAAGACCCGAGTTCAAATCCTACTTCTGACACTAACTGTGTGACCCTAACACTTAAACCTCTTGGAGCCTCAGTTTCCTTATCTGTAAAAGGGAATAATAATAGCAACTACTTCCCAAGGTTGTTGTGAGAATTAAATGAGATAACATATGTATGGTATTTTGCAAACATTAAAGTGCTCTATAATGTCTAAATGTGCATGTGCACAGACACACACATACATCCCTATACACAGTTATAGAGGACAATTCTAATGATTTTCTCCACTGAGAAAAGCAGTAAAGAATCCCAAGAAAGAAGCTAATGGTGCTTCAATTTAAGGGCTGAATTGAACAAATATGATCCATTTACATCAGGGCTACCATGCTGTCCAATGAAAGAATTCAAGCACAGCCTCAAAAAATTCCCAAACATTCCCCTGCCTGCTTTTTGGTATCAGAGAGGCTTCAATTCATCAGCACCAACAATGGATATTAAGTGAACGCCCTGGAAGATTCCAATGATGCCATTTGTATCAACCTGGCCTAGAGGGAACAAAATGAGCTCAGTTGTCACAGACCTTCTTCCATCTCTAGCTTCGCCAAAGGAGGCATGTGTAGAGCTGAGGTAAACAGCAGAATTAACTGCCCAGAGTCAGAGCCTTACCATGGAAGAATGAACAAGGGAACATAATATCCAAACCCCCACAACCTCTGTTGGGAACATCCTCCCTCCATCCAACTCGCCAGACTCTCTCTTTTGCATCAAGCTTTTCCTGAAATCCCATCTCCCATCACCTCCTTCAGGTTGTCTTCCAAAGCATGGCTGATGCTCTACTATGCAACTCCCAAGTTCACTTTTGCTGTCAGGCCCTGGCTTTGCTCAAGAACTACTGATACATCAAACAGTTCCAATTATTTCCTTCCATACAATATAATATTCATTCGTTCATGTAACAAAATATTATGGACCATTTATATGCAATGCACTTTGCCAAGCACTTGTTAAGCAAACAAAAATAACTAAGAGCCAATCCTGCTCTCAAGAAATTTACTATGTCATTTTTTTAGTGGGGGAAGGAGGCTGCAGTGATTTTAGTGGTGTGTATAACTCTGTGTGGGGACAAATGTCCTTCTACCTAGGACATCTACCTATATAGATCTGGTTTTAATTTAGCATCCTAGGGAGACATCAGTAACACTAAGAGGTGAAGTGACTTCTGATATAGTGGCTATGTGGCCTTGGGCAAGTCACCTAACCTCCTAGTCCTTCAGGCAATTCTCTACTATAAGCTTCAGAGAAAGCTCTGACCTTCATTGGTAAAGGGAATTTCCTAATCCAAGACTTCCTTATACCAATCAAATAACAGGTCTAGTACCTATCCCTCAAGAAGAGAAATATTCAAATTGTGATCTCTATGGAACAAGGTGTAGAACTGGAGACGATGTGAAGAGAGGTTAAGCCCTCAGTAACATGCCCTCTGTTAAGATGCATTGGGGTCTGGGGGAGGATTGTGATCATTTCTGGATTTAAATGCTCCTCCAACTTGGGCCTTCTCTATTCCATCAGCCTTTTCTTACCCAGGAGTTCAAACAGTGAACTGGGTAACCAAGGAGCACATTTCGGAACAGAAATTATCCCTAAACTCAAGAATGTTACAATCTTACAATGTAGGTGATAACTGTACATCAGCTAACAAAACGGGAGGGATGTACATGGCAGACAGCAGTGCACAGGAAGAAGACAGCACAAACCATTTATTCCCATGAACTGAGAATCAAAAGTTGATTCCATGCTTGGTTACTATGCAAGTTTACTCTCTTTCTCCAAGCCTCAATGGCCCAATCTTTAAAACGGCAAAATGGTATTCTACTTTAAATCTACAACTAACTTTTTATAAAGGTCATAGAACTCTCTAACAATGCAACGACCAAAGAATGTGAATATGATAATTTGAGCTTGATCATTCCCCAGGATCCCCTCCCCCACACATACCCACTTCAGGTGCCTAATGATGCATGAAGTATGTTTATTCTGTTCCTCTTGTTTGCTCCATCTACTACTCTGGCTATCCTGCTGCATGGCTATGAAAGCCCCCAAATAAAGCCATATATATTGTTAATCAGTAACTTAAGCATTTAATTTAGTCCCCTTACTCCCAAAGGAGCCAAAGCAATTCCCCACTAGGGCTGCCTCAAAGCATTTTGAGATGATTAGAGTTGAAAGCTTCTCATTTAATCAGGGCAAAAAGGCAAGAAACCACTGCCTGCTTCAATCTAGGCCATGTTTGAATTCTGCCTTGTTCCACTTGCTTTAACCAGCTGGGTCTAAGCTTTGAACAAGATGTTATTCAATGAATTTCCTTCCAGGACTGCAGTTCACAAAATTGCAGGGGTCTGGGTATTAGGTTTTTTTGTTTTTGGTCTTAATAAATGGTGAGTTGTTCTTGAAAGCCAAATACCAGGGGCTCCTCCTCCCTGACTTGCTTCATCTCCAGAACCTTGTAGACTTTCTTATTCTAAAGTTATCCTGTGTCTCCAAGAGCCATTTCTTCAATCATCCAACCTACAATCTTCTTTCTTTTTGCCCCAAATAGTCAGCACCACATATTGAAGCTAGCTAAATGGCTCAATAGAGAGAATATTGGATTTGGATTCAGGAAGACTTGCATCTGAATCCTACTCTAGACACTTACTAGTTGTGTGACTTTCTAAACCTCTCTCAGCCTCAGTTTCTTCAACTGTAAAATTGGAATAAAAGCAGCATCAAATTGTGAGAATCAAGTGATATAACACATCAAGGGCTTTCTAAACTCTAAAGCGCTATATAAATGTCTGGCTATTAGCTTCTTCTGCATACATACACAAGGACAAATTGATGCTATGGACACATGCTGGCTAAAAGAGTCTGTGTTTAAACTTTCATGTGGGCAATAATAAAATGCTATAATATAAATGTTAGTTATAAAAGCTCTTTCCTGAAAGAAAAAAAAAACAACCCTTAATGAAGATGGTGCAAATTTTATTATTTCCATATTGCAGATGAGAAATCTGAAGGTCAGGAAAGTTAAGTGACTATCCCAGGGTAACACAGCCTAACAAATACTGGAGGTGGGAATCAAACCCAGGTCTCCAGGGTCCAGAGTCCAGGACTAGTGTTTTTTGTTACTACATCAAATTGCCTCTATGATGAACTACCGGTCTTAATCCCAATTAAAACTAGGAACCCACCTCCCTTGTTTGCTTCACAGCGGCTCAATCTTTAGGGGTTGAGCTGCTAAAAGGATCATGTCCAGTGTCCCACCTTCTAGGCTGGGCTATCTTCTCTGCCTACCAAAATTCTATTCACCCTTCAAGGCCAAGCTTAAATGCAGTCTCCTCAATGAAACTTCTACTGACCATCCTTATGGCTAGAGTGGTCTCTTCTTTTTTAAAATTTGGATAGACAGGCACTTAATGGCCATACATATTCATTTTCACACTTGGTCTTATACCTCCTTTTATGGTAAATTGGATTTATCCTGTGTGAGAGGCAGTGTGGTATAATGGAAAGAGAAGTGGCCTGACATTTGGGATCTCCAGACTTTTCCTTGATAGCCATATGGTCCCAGGCAAGTCATTTAAGGTTTCATGCCCTGCCTATCTCACAAATCATTAGTTTTGAGGAAAAGAATTTTGAGTAGATGGGGTGCTGAAAATCCTAAGTAAAATGGCAATAAATCTTCTGTCTCTAAGTTTGGTAAGACAATCTTTTTCCCTAAACAAGCCCAGGTCTCTGAAAGGTCACTCTGTATTGAAATAATAACTGTTATCATTTCTAAAAAGAAAAAAAGTTGGCTATAGTCATGCCTATACCCTGCATTTTACCACCACCCCCCACCTTTATTTCAGGCAACTTTGTCCAGGATCTTACCACAGTCCAAAAGGTCACCCCGACTTAAGAGGAATAAAGGTCAGGCAGCTGCTGAACTCTGCTACCTGGTGTCAGATGGTCCTCACCTCATTGCTCACCACCACATGGATCCCCGTTGGTCCCTGCCTGTAGACTCTGTTAATATGCTGAGGGGAAATGCTGTAGAGATTTGCAATCTTCTCAATTAGCTCCAAAGTGGTCAGCTCTTCCAAAAAGATGGCATGGTACACTGAAGAGAGAAGAAACAAGAAAATACTTTTAGCTAGTTCTTTTGAAAAGTTTGCTCTCTAAAGAATAAACTACTTCTAACTAATTACCTAAATTAGCAGAAGTCCACAGATCCACGGAAAAATAATACCTTGCCTTTCTGTTTTAAAGAATGGACACTGAGCAAAGCCAAGAGAACCATTTATACAATAAAAACAACACTGTAAAAAACTGTTTTTAAAGTCTTAAGAATACTGAGCAATGCAATGACCAACCACTAATGATGAAAACAACTTCTCCACCCTCCTGACTAGAAGCTAGACTTAAAGCTGCAGAAAGAGGTCTACATTTTCAGACATGGCAAATGGGTGGGTTTGCTTTATTTGCTCATGCTTATTCATCATAGTGGTTCTGTTTTTCTTTTTCAACAGAGGGAGGAGTGAAGAGGGAAAGCAAGAGTATTGTCAAAAAACAAAAATAAAAAGTCAATGAAACATTAAAAAGAAAATCCAAAGAAGAGAACAGAACCAAATTCAGACAGAAAGAAACACAAACAGGATGGCTTTGAAATAAGCAGGGTGAAACACACACACACACACACACACACACACACACACACGTATTCACATGTAGTTTGTATATAATATTTTGTTATATATTATATACATATTTTAAAGCTAGTTATATATAATGGCAATTCATAGTTCCATATATAATCTTTTTTTTTCTATTCTACTTTGCTCATGGGGGGAGGGTGATAGATGCAAAATAAAAAAAATTTTTAATTTAATTTTTTTTTAAATTTTTAATTTTTAGGCAATTGGGGTTAAGTGACTTGCCCGGGGTCACACAGCTGATAAGTGTCAAGTGTTTGGTCTGAGGCTGGATTTGAACTCAGGTACTCCTGACTTCAGGGTGGTGCTCTATCCACTGTGCCACCTAGCTGCCCCAAAAAAAATTTTTAAAAGAATGCTTCTTGTCAAAAACATAAACTACATTATCACATATACCAAAGAATGGTACTTCAAATTACTTATGTAGTAGAATATGGTTATGATGAGTTTATTACTAGAAATAATATTCCTGGGCTACAGGATATAATACATGACAGAGAATCGCTGCTCATCCTCTGTTGCACATTAGCAAGAGAATAAATTAGGAGAAAGGGAAAGGAGACATGAATGTACCATTGGCTTTTCCCACCATGCTTGTAGATCATTTTATATTGTTCCACTTAATGGATAATTTGGAAGTCAGGGGGTGGGGAGAGAAAGACAGAAGGAGAGTCAAAGGGATCGTAAGACAAATAATATTTGATGGCCAAACGAAAGTACTGGAAAGAGTTCAGCTGTCCTGTTCCCTTCTTACACTCCTCCCCTGCAATGCAAACAACACCCAAACAGGTACTTTAGGTTATAAAGGATAAGAATTGTATGGTTTATTACAGAAACTGTAATCTAATTAAAAGAGCATTTATTCTGGGTCATTCAAGGGGATGTGAAAGTTGCTTGGTTATATGGAATCCTTCTTTGATGCCTTTCATGATGATGATAATTTTAACATTTAAATCAATTTCCAAGGGAGCCGGGCACAGCAGACTGAGGACTAAATCTGAGTCAGGAAGATCTCAATTCAAATTCTCTACCATCTATTAGCTGTGTGTGCATGACTCTAAGCAAGTCACTTTAACCACTCTCAGTCAGAGCTTCTCTCATTCATAAAAGGGGAACAATGACAGCACCTGCCTTATAGGACTGCTGTGACAATAAAATAAAATAATATATGTAAAGGGCTTTGCAAATTTTAAAGCCCTATAGAAATGTTAGCTAATATATAAATAATAGGCACTGATACTATCTCTCTCATCATTTATATTTTGTTACAAAAAAATTTTATTAAAAGAGAGGCTTCTCAGGAGGCAAAAAGTAGGCATGATACACATTAAAAAAAGAGAGCATCAATGAAACATTTTTAAATGGAAAAAAAATAGATAAAGCACATTCTAAAAAAAGCAAGTTATCTCCCTGCCCACCACTCACGTAAGAATTTATCTGTGGCCATTCATAAAAATAATCGGCAGTTACTCTTTTTTTTTGAAGGCTGAACTTCCCTATTTCACCCAATCCCATTGCTGATTGGCAGGGAAGCTTTAAGCTTTAACCTGCTTTGTTTCCAAAATGGGCTGGTTCACTTCTCCTTGGGTAGTCTGGCTGCCCGCTTCTCCCTGGGGCTCACCACATTGGTGCCAAAATTAGTGCAAACATTCAATTGGCTTTAGCCCCACTGGTATTCAAAGCTCCACAGATATTCCAAGCTTCCAAACTCCATTGATCCACCAGCCTCAGCCTCCTCAGTAGCAGAGACTACAGACATGTACCATTCTACCCACAGGGTGGTTACTTTTCTATCTTGTATTATGTATGGAAGATTCTTTCCAGCTCCATCTTTCAGATTCCAAAAAGATGAAATGAGCATATTAAAAGGTTACTGGGGTTTTAAAAAATATATACTTTTTGATGACAGAGTACATGAACTACTTTGAAAACTTTAATGCCAAATATTTCTGGTGGCTGCTTTGCCACCCTAAAGATACAGGGGTGAAAAGGCCAGCCAGCCTCTGGGACTCCAGAAATAGTTGTATCACGTTAACTGGCTAAGGGCTATAAAGTCACTTGAGTGTCAACCACATATCTCAACAAGGAAGGCCCATAAGCTGGAGCAAACAACTGACTTTCCAATATTTAACTACTCTTTAAACTGCAGTAATCTGGGGCTTCTGATTCATGTCTGGTTTAGCTGCAAAGTCCCTGTATTTATCAGGACTCCCTGTCTTTATTCAACTAAGCAGTGAGATTGGTGGAAGAAAAAGAAAATCTATTTTCTTGGCATCTTATTCAACACCAATGACTATAACAAGCCAAAAAAGCCTATCAAGCACAAACTTTGGGACACAAATGTACAAGAACCTTAGAGTCCGGTCCAAGAGACTGCCTTATAGTTAAAGTCACCTGATAATGTGTCTTGGCACATTTCACAAATTCACCGTCCCCCCAATTTCATAAATGTGGTCCAAGAAGGACATGTTTTAATCTGAATTCTACTCTATAATAAACGGAGACGTAAAGATTCCAGTGTACCTCTTTAAGGATTAACAAACACATTTCTGTGTTTTTCTTGCAGCTCACTGTTATTTCCAAATCAAAGGGAAATAACGCATCATTGATGAGGTACAGAGATGAGGTCCTGAACTAGAAAGGGCCACTTTGGGGATTCTATCAGTTGGAAGAGAGGATCTGAGTATTATAATTGCTAATGCTTCTTAGGAAGTTAAACCATCGTGGCTTATGTGTTCTTAAGATCCCCTACAAACCTACAACTAACCTCCCTTTTAGCTTTGCCACTACTGTCGTGCAAGAAAAAGGAAATGAACAATCAAAAGAAGGTCCACAGGTTTTTGTCAAATTCAAAGGGGATGATTATAAGTCTAGGAACAACCAGGCAGTGTCCATAGTCTATTGCATTGTTCCCAGGAACACAGCGATTAAGCATCATTTTTTTTCATAAGCGTTTTATAAGCTTCTTCATTGACTATGACATAGTAGTGGATGACATATTCTTCACATACTACAATGGAATGAGCAATGGCTTGAGACTGAAGAGACCTTAGGTTGATTCCCAAAGTTTACCAAATATGTGACCTTGGGCAGATCACAATCACATTTAAGGATTTGAGTTTCCTTACCTGCAAAATGGTTGAAGTCTCTAAAGGGCCATTCTAGCTTTAACAATCTTAAGACCACATAAAACTACATTTAACAAGACTTTCTATCACATAAACCTTAAGTATTAAGGAAAGAGAATAGAAAAAAATCCTCCTGGAGATAACTTTCTTGCCTTAGTAATAGATTTCCTTTTTTCAAAACACCATGCGAAAGCATAATTCTCAGACTGTGCTTATTTATCTAATTATTCCATCTACACTTGCCACACAGCTCACAAGCTGCCCCTTGTCTAAAGAGATAAGGACAATGAATGAGAATCTCTAGTCCCACTGGTTAGCCTCTCCTGACCAACTTACCACACAAATTGCTGTCTCCACCTTCTCTCTTCTGCTGAAGATGAGACCTGTTCTGCTCCAAATCCTGGCACACATAGATGGTCATCTTTGGCCTTACATTTCTAGCAGCAAAATGAAACAAACAAACAAACAAAAAACCAAAACAAACAAACTAGTAACAAATGTAGGTTCTTATATGGGATGATGGTCAGTTAATTTAATTCTCTGTTACCACAGAAAGCAGAATAAGAACAAAAAGACTAAAAATGTCCTGGAAAGGACTGAGAGAGAAAAGAAAAAGACGACTCTGGATTTTAAGTTGCTAGATAGTAGAAGGAAGTGGAACAACTTCTATCTGTGAAGTGAGTTAGCAATAGGAGACAGATACCTATCTCTCTGGGATGGCTTAAGAACGACCCTGCTTAGAAAACAAGTGGCCCAAACTATCTTGCTAGACATCCCATGAATGAGCCAAGTGTCCAGCTTCCTAATTGTCAAACAAATACATCTACAGATACACGAGTCCCAAACTGGAGCAGAAAGACAACAAGGAGGAACCAAAGGGCTTCTAAAGGACTAGTACATTTGCCCTTTAGGTCATCAGTTCATAAAGCTGCCCTGGAGTGGGAGAAGAGCCAGAGACAATGATATTCAACAAATGTTTGAGCAACTGGATAAAAAACAGTCTAGGTCGGCAAAAAAGGTGACAAAGGCTTAAATCAAATGTGGAGCAAAGAAACACTCAATATAAGCATAGGTTCTGCCATGAAACTCTTCAGTCCCAGACCAACCAGGTTCCCCAGTTTTGATATAGACTCAGGGTATATGGTTTTGGTCATACGACTTATAAAAGCTCCAGAAATCTTCAAAAGGTATTGTAACATCTAACTGCTCTTGATGTGTCAGGTTGAAATAATCACACACCTGCCTTTGATGGCATTGAAGAGCCGGATCCCATCAGCAGGGCCACAGATTTGAACAAAATCTTCTTTGGACATTTTTAGTAAGTCAGCACCTAGACGTTAAAGAACACCACAGGTTATAGAAAACAAAAACCAGAAAGAAGCCATAAGTCTTTATGTAGCCAACCTAATTTTTCTGTAATACCATGGAGGGCAGAACACAACCGAAAAAATTAGCTACAAATTTTGATCTTTAGGTTTGGGAACAGATTTCCTATAGTGAGGATGGAGAATCTCCTTCTCTGTAGATCTTTCTTACTAACCAAGCACCTGCTACACGCAAGGGATCAGGCTAGGGAGACATTTGTGGAATACAAAGAACAACATGGCACAGTCCTTTCTCTTCAAACTGCCCATAGTCTACTTGAGAAGACAATACCAAACATAAGACTATACATCAATGAGTTTTAAGAACAAGAGTTATCAGAAGAGGGAGAGTTTTCCCACAGGTGGACAATTACATAAAATACACACCATTCATCAGCATCGGGAGAACAGTAGAGAAAGAAGGACAGAGAGGGAACACAGATGTGAAACTTAAAATTCTCCAGACACACCAGAGAGAGGATTTATGCCCTTAAATAGAATTCATCTAATGCAAACTCCCTTTGCTGCAATGCACTTCTCTTTAATTCAACAAGGATTTGCTGAGCACAGTGTCTGGTCCAATCTAACTGAGTGGACATGACATGAATATATGAACAACACAATTAAAGAATGTTACAAAGAAATTAACTACTTCTAAATGTTGCCTTTACCACCAAGACTTTATTTGGAATCTTTGGAACAGGAGGAAATAAAAAGACCTGAGAAGGGGAAAAACCTAGAAGGTAATGAGGCAAAGAGTAATTTCCGCATATACAAAAGTAACCAAGATAACACGTTAAGGAAATATCTTCTGGATTAGTCCTATGCTCCATTCAAAGTAAGACTCTCTGTTTTTGAAGGGTGGTGATATAGAGTTCCAGGAGAGGTACCAAGAAACAGGTTATTCCTCCTATATCGCCCCATTAGGTATCATTTACCCATGACTTTATCTAAACTTTCCTCAACTTCGTCATATTTTCAGCCACTATCATCTACCTTCATAGACCTTTGAAGTACTATGTGATTAGCAGTTTGGAATGGAACCTTTCTTTTAGAAAACAACAAATTAAAATATAATGAAAAATCTTGTCTCCAGGAAACAGATGGAAAAAAGTGGACTTCCCTGCAGGAGTTCATATTTGCTCTTGATTGGTAGCAAGTTTTTCCTTCCCTGGAAGTCTTTAAGGAAAGACTGGATTAAATGCCTTCCAGATAGGGTGCAATAAGGGTTCTTTTTGGGGTACGGATGGGAGATGGCACTGAGACCCCTCTTAACACTGTGATTGATACCATAGTGCGAAGTACATTCTATAAGTATAGAAATAATCTACCTACACTTGAGGAAGGTACATAGGGAACCATTTAACTCACCAGAGAAACTTGAGAAGAGTCTACAGAATGGAGAAAACCTATTGCGGTAAAGCCACTGCTGGGCATCTTGAATAGAAGCGGAAGGAAGGAGGTGCTACATTGCAAAAAGAATAAGAGGCCTTGAAATGAACTGTTCATCAGTGTCCTAAAAGAGAAAAGCAGCACATTAAAATGATCTCAAATACTTACATCATTGCTGATAGGCAGAGGCTCCACTTGGTGAGTTGGAGAACTGTTGCTAAAAAGTGTGCGTAAGATTAGGAGAAAAAAAGCATTAGGGCAAATCCTCACAGTACAGCATACTAGTTATCTAATGATTGTGCTTTTCTAAGAATTAACTAAGATCTGTCTTTCCTATCAGGCACATTGCAATGTAGATAACAGTATTGTTTTTAAATAGAGCTGACTTTAAATGAAATGCAACCTAAAGATTTTTCTCACACAGTTGAATTCTTTTTCTTTTCTAGCTTTTTTTTGGTGCAGTCAGAGAAAATTCATTTTAAATATGAATCATCAAAATCCTGAATTAACCCTTTGTTATTTGGCAGAAGGTCCTGGTAAATTAAGTCCAATGGATAATCCCTCTCAAGCCCAGGTAATCAAGCTGCAGATACTTGAGGCACTGAGATTCTAATTTGTTTGGGTCTGGAGTGCATTGAGCTGTAAAATTTCTCTCATAAATGCTCTATTTCTGACTCACTTCCACATTCCCATAGGAAAAATGACATGTAAATTGAACTTTAGAATGTTTAATTCTATATTAACATGACAGGAGAGGTCAAAAGACTTCCACCAGTATGAAATTCTCTTACAATGCAAATAACTATCCCCTAATTTATTCGTCTGTATACAGAATTTTATGGATCATGCTTCTTTTTTTTCTATTCAGCAACAGCTTATAGCAAAATTGAGAGCTCTATTTTTCAATGTTAGGAAAAAAAAGGAGAGCCTGCCAAACGAAGTAAATATGGAAAACTGTGACCCTCCTTAGGAACTCCCTGTCTCAGCATCAAATGATTAGTCTTCCTCTTAAAAAGACCAAGCTTGTGGTCAAACCAGTTTCTCCAGTAGAAAACCACTGCCTTTCTTTTTTTTTTGGAGGGGGGCACTAGGCAATAGAGTTAAGTGACTTGTCCAGAGTCACACAGCTAGTAAGTGTTAGGTACCTGAGGCCAGATTTGAACTCAGGTCCTCTTGACTCCAGGGCTGGTGCTCTATCCACTGTACCACCTAGCTGTCCCCACTGCCTTCCCTTTAATAACACTGACCCCAACAAAGAACATACAAATTTTAAATTTTAAGAGCTCAATCTTCTGACACAAACAGCTATACGGGCACATTTAGTTTCTTCACTATAGTTTCCTCCACAAGCAGCCAACCTATCTGAACCCTGAAATGAATCTAAAGAGGCAGATAAAAATTATTCTCATGGGGCTTCATAGTTCCAGCCAGCTGGAAATCAGGGAATCAGAAAACTGAAACTCAGCCCAAATTCTAGGATAGCAATTCTTCATTTAAGGGTATCATAACTCCAAAGGCCAGGAAGATGCATTCACGACAATGTTCAGTGAACTACCAGGCATTTTCAGAGATGAATGAAAATACAGAAACCATTCAGTCCGACTCTGTTTTGTAGGTGAGAAAACTAAGGCACTGAAAGGTTGATCAACTTCCCCAAAGTCACATAACCAAAAAAAAGCCACAAAGCCACAGCAATCCAGTGTCAGATGGAGGACTAGAACCCAGGTCCCCTAACTTCTAGTCCACTGCTCTCTTCTTATTATTTATCACACTGTCTCCAATACTTGTCCTAAGGGACATCAAAATCTTAAGAATTCCAAGCCCATCATTAGTGATAGAAGTAGAGATTGGGGTCTATTTTCCCACAGACCTTAATTTGTTACTGCCTTATATATCTACATAACACAAATGATCCAAGCCAATCAATGACAAGCAGTCTATCTGCCATCCTAACGGATAGTTGGGCTATGTGTTTCGTAAGGTTTCTGATCACCCTCATCATGCTGAAAATAGGCTCTAAAAACTAAGAAGTGATGTACATTTGTCTCTTTTATTAGCAATTAAATAAGGGTAATATAATACTTTAACTAAACAATTCTCAAATGCATCTCAATGCCCCCACACACACACACTTGGGCTACAAAAGAGATAAAGGAAGATGAAGAAATAAACCTAACAATATCTTTCCACATAATCCAAAGGAAGAAATTTCCAGACATACCCATCTCCCAGGCTGAAGCTGTTTGGAGAGCTGTTGTAACTCGGTGATGGGACATTGTTTACTTGGTAAGGAATATCTGGCCACGGAGAACACTGTCAGAACAGAGCAAAGAGTGGCAGTGACCCAAGTGTATTTTGGGGCCATTGAAAATGTAGATTTGGTGCCAATACCATATTTTCTCCTTTTTTCATGGGAACATTCAAAACCAGACATGAACATTGTTCTCTTCTCTACCTCCCATCCCTCCCCAAGCAATGGTAGTAATGCTGAGTAATTCACCTTTCACATTAAGTATGAAATACAAATACAAAGGATATTTTGTGCTGGTTGGGATTACCTTTTTCCTCTAAGTAGTCCCATCAGGTTATTTCATATCAGTTTTATTGTGTTATAAAAAAGGTGGCAAGGAGTGTAATTCCCATGTGCATAACTGAGAAAGTGAACTCAATGTGAACTGATTCAACCATTCTGGAGAACAATTTGGAACTATGCCCAAAGGGCTATAAAACTGCACACCCTTTGATCCAGCAACACCACTACTAGGGCTGTATCTCAAAGAGATCATGAAAAAGGGAAAAAGACCCACATATACAAAAATATTTATAGCAACTCTTTTTGTGTTGGCAAAGAATTGGAAAATGAGGGGATGCCCATCAGTTGGGGAATTGCTGAACCATTTGTGGTATATGAACGTAATGGAATACTATTGTGCTATAAGAAATGATGAGCAGGCAGATTTAAGAAAAACCTGGAAAGACATAAATGAACTTATGCTAAGTGAAGAGAGCAGAATCAGGAGAACATTGTACACAGTAACAGCAACATCGTGGGATGACCAGTTTTGATGCACTTAGCTCTTCTCGGCAATACAATGATCCAAGACAATTCCAAAAGGCTCATGATAGAAAATGTTATCCACATCCAGAGAAAAAACTATGGAGACTGAATATAGATTGAAATAAACTATTTTTACTTTGTTTTTTCTTTCTCATGGTTTTTCCCTCTTGTTCTCATTCTTCTTTTACAACATGACTAATATGGAAATATGTTTAAGATGATTGTACATGTATAACCTATATCAGATTGCATGCCATCTTGGGGAGGGGGGAGGGAAGGAAGAAAAAAGTTTGGAACTCAAAATCTTAAAGGTGAATGTTAAAAACTATCTTTACATGTAATTGGAAAAAAAGTATTAAGTGGGAAAAAATAAAAAATGAGGGGAAAAAAGAAAGAAAAGAAAGTGAACTCAAGTTACATGGAGGCAGATGAAGAGCACATTATACTTATAGTGAATAGTAAGGAAACGGAACCCAAGAGACAACCACCCCTCAATTCAAATCCACAAATATTTTAAGAAATTACTGAAGACAAATTATACATAAGACATTGTGTGAGCGTTTAACTCTCTCCTGAAAGAGCATATGATCTTATTGAGATAATATTAATTGCCACAGCAGTCTCCTAAACCCATGAGAAAACATACAGGTTTGGCCTATGAGAAGGATAAAAATGCTATAGTTCAGGTTACCTGTTCCTTTCCTTTCCTGTGACAGTGTTTCCTTGTAGAGTCAATCTGTAGCATTCCTTAAGATTTACTCTCACCACTAAACTACAGACATAGTAAATATTTAACTCCACAGTCAACGCACGATGGAATTTGATGGTGCCTAAATCTACAACTTGCAAAGGCAAGAGGAAGCCTAATGAGTAGATATAACTATGCCTCCCTTCATGTTAGCGTTTTACAAGAAGACTTCCTAGCTCAATTACTGTCAAGGCAGAGATTCCACACAAAACAAATGAAAGTTAGGATTGGACTTATACAAGATGTAGAAATCACTTATTGTGAATGTTTATGGACTGACCTGAACGACTAATAATACTTAATGACTGCCATTCACTGGGCTTTTAGCGTAGGCTACCTTATACTGTTAGTTGCCTTTGTATATACCTGTCTTGACCTTCCTCCACTAGACTATAAGCTCCCTGAGGACAGGAGACATATCTTGCATTGACAGTGGTAGGGAGCACAGTCCTAGGCTCAATATAGATGTTGTTGTTGTCCAGTCATTTTTCAGTCATGTTGACTCTTTGTGACCCCATTTGGGGTTTTCTTGACAGAGAAACTGGAGTGGTTTGCTATTTCCTTCACCAGCTCATTTTTCAGATGAGGAAACTGAGGAAAACAAGGGTTAAGTGACTTACCCAGGGTCACACAGCTAGTCTGAGGCCAGATTTGACCTCATGAAGATGAGTCTTCCTGACTTTGGGCACAGCACTCTATCCATTATGACACCTAGCTGCCTGTATATAACATAGATAGCTACCCAATAAAGGTATGTTGATCATACCATCACTGGGTCATTATATGTTCCCCCCCAAAAAAAACCCTGGGCTAAGTCCTAATCCTTCTAGTCCATTATTTCTCTCCAGGCCTTCTTTACTCATGCTGTTTCTAGCACCTGGAATACTCTCCTTCTTAGCTACTTATTCACATCCTACCTATCCTATAAGGAAGACCAAGCTGAAGACCCATCTCCCTAACAAAGCCTTCCCAGAAAACTCCAGCTCTTGTTGATCTGATTCTCTAATTCTAAAATCCTAGAATCTTTAGGAACTAGAAGGGAATGTCAGAAATCATCTTGTCCAAACCACACTAATTTTGATACACGTCCCATCAGCATTTCATATTCTTGGAGTTTGCTAGTAGTTTCATATTGAGAGGGGATCCTGTGGGTAGGGACTCTCATGTTTCTTTTGCAACCTCTACAATATTTAACACAGTGATAGGCACATGGTAATTACTCAAGAAATGTCTGCTAATTGACCAGGACTGGAGACTAGGGTAAGTGTTAGTGACAGAACAGAGAAAATCCAAAGGAAGAGAAAAGCAGATGACTATGATTCATGAAAGTAAGAGCTAAAGAGGTTAAAAAACATTCCTGATTCTAGGGAGTGGCAGGGAGGATACACTTAAGATGCAAAGTGAATCCTAGTCACCAAACATTGGGAAATCACCTTCCTCTTAGGTTATTTGTGTTTAAGACCTCATGGAGAACAAGCCACTATTTAACCTTAATGTAGTTTTTTTGTTGGTTTATTTCATATTTGCCCTAATGCCAAAACGGCAATTTCACAAGAATCTAAAACCAATCAAGACTCTATAGTTATGTCCTAAAGGCATTCAGGAAGGATTGATGGTTTCCTAACCTCTGTGAGGATTGTAGTTTCATAAGATGGCTGGTACTTCTCCTTCTCCTGTGCAGTTCTCTTCTCCATTTTCTCCCTATCTGTCTTCTGTTTCCGATCTGCTCCCTTTGGCTGCAAATACAGAGTAACAGGTGTTTGTTTAGCCAAGACAAGCAAAAGCATGGCTAACCGAAATTCAGACTCCTTGATATCCACCAATCTCCCCTGTTCAGAGGCATTGCTCACTTCAAGCAGGGATTCAGAAGATCCTAACCTGGCCAAGTAGAGAGAGACACTTGGAAAGCAACCCTAAAAATGGTCACCTTTGGAAGAATAATTCTAACCAGTAATATTGTTATTTAATTCCCCATGGAGAGTGAAGTCTGACAGAAGTGTGCAGGTGACTATTTATCAGTTTTTATTCTTGGTTTGCAAGCTATAATTGGTAACCAAAAAAAATAAAAATCCCCTGCCAAAAAACTTTGGGAACAGGCATATTTATGAAGAAATTCTCTTTTGTACTCCCACTAACACATATCATAGATACTATTCAGTTGGTACTGAAATCATTCACTGACGTGTGACCATACTGCTCACTTGTAGTATTATTGGAGTTCTTATGTGTTTATTTCTGTTTGCCTTTCTCCAAAATAGATTCTAAGTTCTTTGTGAGTTAAAACCATATCTTCTACTTCTCTCTATTCCCATACACCCAACAACAGAATTCAGAGGTCAACATGTTGAATGAGTAGATAAGTAAATAAATGAAGCAATCCCCAGATAATTTACTTTGAATTCAATTTTCTCCCAGGTTAACGTTATGGAGGTAGGTAAGGAGACAAGCTGAAAGGAGTTTCATTATTGGGAATTCAACCTAGAACTCCTGCTCCAGATGATAAATTTTGCCTAAATCCCCGGGATCCCTCTGTGCCTTTGGAGAAGCACCATTCTTCATCGAGATGAGCCTATGATACTTCTAATGATAATCTATCTAATTTATCTAATGATAAAAAGACAAAGATAAATTTGGTTTTATTGCTAATCTCACACTGATCCAGAAGCAGCTCACGGGAGACCAGCCTCAGAGTCCTTACAGACCTTCACTGTGTGCCCAATCTTAGGGTTAGCAAAAGTAAAAGGCAAAAGAACTTAGATGCCAGATGAATAGAATATTAGAACCAGTCTCAGTTGCAATAGATAAGCCTAGTCCTACCAGGACAGACAATCCTCCTGGATAAGCCAACATGCATTTGAAAGGAAGAGGACTCTCAAGGTGAAAACCCAATCTGAACACAGGCTCAGATGCTTAGACAGATGACCTCCTAGACACCAGGAATCCTTTCCTGACCTACCCCCATTTATCACTCCTGCCCTTAGTTACTCTCTGTATGCAAAGGGAGGAAACCCTACCCATCCCACAAGTCACAATATGTGCTAACCCCACAGATACAAACTTCTCTAGCACATCAACTACCTACTCTTGAATAATTCCTACAAAGGGCTGGCCTCCTAAAAAGCTGGGAACTCTTGTTCTTTCTAACCACCTTCAGAAGAGCTTCCCTTACAGACTCACCATTTTCTCTGGCAATGGCCAGTTACAAAAGTTGCAAAGAGAATAACTGACAATTTTGCTCCATCTTTCTTGCTCCTTATTCTATACTTACTTAAACTGCTTTGCTTACGTGAAGGGCAACTGGTAGATCAAGGTGAAAATATCAGCTTGGGCATTTTGTGAAACCAGTTTTGAAAGTTTTAAGATCCTGTCTAATTCTAAAACAGAACTTGACTAGGAGCCAAAGACTTGGGTTGTAGTTCTAGCTCCATTACTAGAAATCTTTGTGGTTGGAGGCAGATCATTTAATCTCTCTAGACCTTGTTCCCCTTTTGTAAACTGAGGGGGTTCTAAGGTACTAAGACAGCATGGTTCTTGGAATCATTTAACTATCAGTACATGGTGGTTTCATGAACATGCCTTTGTTTATTTTGACTTCCTGACCTTCTTTCCTCACTCTTCTTTGCCATTTTCTAACCCAAAGATAGAGGATAGAGTCTGTAGTGATTGTGATGGAAAAAGAAGGGGAAAAGAGCTGACATGTATATGTACTTACGTGGACATATAAGGTAACCAGGGTTAGAGATGGAGGTAGTTTGACATCTGGATAATTGAATGACTAGACCCAATTCCTCAAGACCTAATCCCTAAGATATTTACTAAGATACTAAGATACTTACTTTGGTTTGTACTGGCAAGTTTATAGATGAAAAAAGTCTGGGAAACACTGTTTAGAAACTTTCTTAATAAACTATTGCTGTCACAGAAAAGAGAACCAGTAGTTGTAAAGTACTACAGGAATGAAAAATCAGCCACCTCCCTTGACAGCTTCTTTCAATTTCTTATTATCTTAACCACAGGAAAGTGTGTCCTTAGGATAAATCGAAATATCTCATTGTAATTTAAACCTATTTACTCTATTTCTATCTGGTAAACAGACAGACATCTAGTTGAGACCTTCCTTCTAACATCCCTTAAAAAAATTCCAGATTGTTCAAAGTTCCCTACAGTTTTCTTAACTCTAAATCCTTTTCTTTCCCTTCTTCTAGGTCTTATCATCAACAATAAACATTTACTATATCCTACTGAGTAAAGGCACTGTGAGGCAAAGTGACAGGGATTCAGAGCACAAGCCCTGCTCTCAAGAGGTTTACAATCTCATTGGGAGACAGGATATATACTTAAACCATCCATTATTTTTGTTGGTTTTTTTCTATAGGAGATTTCCACTCAACTTTTTCCTTATCCCTCCCACATAGTAACGTGAATAAGAGTGTGGGCATCAGAACAAGGAAGGCCCAGGACTGAGGCAACTAGGTGATAGAGTACTAAAGATGGAGTAAAGAAAACCCAAGTTCAGATCCAGCCTCAGATACTAGCTGTGTGACAAGTCACTAACCACAGTTTCTTCATTTATAAAATGAGGATAATAACAATAATTACTTCCCAAGATTCTTGTAAGGGTAAAATTAGATACTATTTGTAAAGTGCTTTACAAACCTTAAAGCATTATCTAAATGCTGCCTATTATTATTACCTCTGATACATACTAGCTGTGTGACCCCAAGCAAGTCATTTACCTTCCTGCTGTTCCAGGCAATTCTCTAAGACTATAAGTTACATAGAAGTTGACAACCTTTGTTGGTAGAAGGCATTTCCTCATCTGAGAGTTCTCTATATCAATGAAATCACAGGTTCAATCTGTATCTTTCATAATATTAACGAGATAAAAATTGATCCAACAGTCTTATTAGACTGTCATATAAGGATTAACTCTTGAATCTCAAAATATAGTGGTATTTAACTCTTCTAAGTTGCTCCCAGACCCATATGAGTTTGGGAGAGTAGGAACAAGAAAATAATTCAGTTCAATATCTCCAAGGCAGTTACTGCTAGCCAGGGCTAACCCTTCTTCCTCTTTACCTAGGACATGCAGCTCACACTTCAGTAATGCAGGAGGAAGCGCCCTGAGACAAATATAATTAGTCTCCTGAACAACTCTCAATTCTTTTTTTGAGGCAATAGGGTTAAGTGACTTGCCCAGGGTCACACAGGTAGTAAGTGTCTCCGGTCAAATATGAACTCAGGTCCTCCTGACTCCAGGTCCAGTGCTCTATCCACTGCACCACCTAGCTGCCCCTCCTGAACAACTCTTACAAATGATTCACTTTTCCAAAAGACCTTACCTTTTCTGAGCACCATCAGTGAACATATAGATTTTGTACATCTTCTTAGGCAATATGTGGCCAGAAAAAGGAACAAAAGGGAAGAGAGATTTCTTTACCCAAAGTCTAGCTCGTAAAAGAAGAGTGTCAGATACATTCATCTTGCATGCCTCAAGTCTTTCATCATAGAACTAGAATCTGTGTTGACAGGGACCTCAAAGTTTACCTGGGCCAAGTTCCTGCTTAAAACATGAATCTGCAACATTCAATTCAATTTAAAAGCATTTACTAATGCCTACCACATGAGAAACACTGTGACAGGTGCTCAGAATACTAAGACAAAAATGAAACAGCCCTTGCCCTCAAGGAACTTACATTCTATTAGAAACAGTATATTCACAGAAGATTAAAATAGTTAACTATATCAATTTAATTTCTGAGGTGGAGGACATGAGCAACTTGGGGGATTGGGATAGGATTCCTGTAAGGGTTGTGCTTTGAAGGAAGCTAGTGATATCCAGATAGTCCACCGCTTCACCATCTCCAGTGATGGCAGGCTCATGACATGCTACAAGGGGACATTCTACTTGGAGACAGCTCTGTTCTTCCTTGCTATTCATAGGATCATAGCATTGTAGGTCTACAGTTGGAAGGGACCTTGGGAGTCACTGAGTCTCAGTTCTCTCATTTTACAGATGAGGCTACTACTGAGGCAATAAGACTTGTACAGTGTCAATAGCCATTAAGTATCTGAGGTGAGATTCACACACAGGTCCTTCAAGGTTAGTACCCTACATGATGATTCACATATTGTCAGTTATAGTTCCCCCCTGCCGTCCCCAGATCTCACTCCCAAGTCTTTTTTCACTCCAGCCTATAAATACCACCATTTCCTCCACCAATTTTCATTTTTAGAGATCATCTAATTCAAAAACAAAAACAAACAGACCTGGTACAATTTCACATACTCCAGAAACTGAAAATAAACCAAGGTGGGTCTATTTTAAATCTGTCAGTGAGACTAGAAGTCTTGGACTATACAGTGCCTCCTTTAGTATTTGGGAAGAAAATTGTAACTGGAAGATTCCTCAGTTCTTGTCAAGATAAGCCAAATGTCTGGATGAAAACAAGAGATTTGGCCTTTGTTTCTTTTTTTTTTTTTTGAAAGACCATATTTCCCCATCTTTCCCAGGCTGGAAATCCATAGGCTACTAACAGCCTGACCCCACATCTGAGTGGCCTGTTCACCCTACCCTTAGGCAACATGATGGCCCCTCATTCCTAGGGGTTCAACCACACTGATACCGAACTTTTTACAGACACCCAATCAGCACAGCCCTTTGCAGTTCAGAATTCCAGAGCAAAATCTGACAATCCTCCCTGGCAGTTGAGATTACCAGCATGAGCTGGCTAGGTTTCTGCTTCTGAAAGTTATCAAAAATCCAACTATTCCGCCCCTACGAAAGGACTCCCCTCCCTCCAGTCACCAAAACCATCACCACATCCATACCAACAGTAAAACATGAGTGGGGTGACCAGTCCTCCAGACTTAACCACAGAAGAGGAAAGAAAAAGAGAGACACAGTATTCTCCACCTTAAACACTTTGATCTGGCAACTAGCTGAATGCAGGTGTTCTGTGTACTCCCCATTCGCATTCTGTTTAAAGGTATCGATTTGCACTCGAAAAGGAACTCCTTTTTCTCCCCCATGCTTCCTGGGTGTGAATTCTGTGCTGATGCAATGGACCTGGAAGAAAAGCAATAAGCATACAGCAACATGAATGGAAAGATCAGTTTGAACCATAGTCTAAAAGCAAATTTGATTATGTCATTCAAAAGAATAACCTTTAATGTCTCTTTATTGCCTGTCAAATCCCATCTTCTCTGGCTGAAATGCTAAACTCTTCCTCATCTCACCTGGTTCCATCCCTACCGATCCAATTTTATCTCTTACTACTTCCCAACACATATCCTTCTGCTCTAGTTAGTTAGTCTCCTCACTGGCTATGTCCCTCCCTCCCAGAACCATCCTCATACTGCTCCCTCCACACATATACACATCTTATTTATTCCCATCCCAGAGCACTTTTTGGTCACACTCTTGCCCCAATTGAAATTCCTTTCCCTTCTACTCACGTCCCTCCATTTCCCACTCATTGGTCCTAGATTCTCAATAAATACAGTTCCGTTCAGGTCCCATCCTGGCTCCTTTTTGTCTCACCCAAGTACTGAACCCTAAACTGAATTCTCCCTTCTCTGAACTTCCATTGCACCAAGAGTCAGCACAACACTGGTTAACATTCAATTACTATATAATCACTGCATGTGATTTAATCCTGCTTATCTTACAAACTTAACTACAGACTCCTAGAGGGCAGAAACCACATTTATTTGTGCACTCCACAGTACCCTGCCCAATGCTGAGTATCAATTACTACTGATTGAATGACTGATTTTAGAAAATATTGGAAGAAAAAGTGGGGTTTGTTTTGAGGACCAGCAACAATGTCAATACTTAAATGTGTTATTAGACATACAGAGAGAAAAACACAACATGACTATTACCTGAATGAAGGCTGAAGCTCTTTTTGAGGGATCCCACAGAAATTCAACTGCATTTAATTGTGTGGGGCTGGCCCTGGGGTCCAAGATGCCAACAGAGAGAGGGATATCTATGTAAAAAGGAAAACTCTTTTAAATAGCCCAAGCAAACCTACTCAAATACTCAGGAAAGTCATGGCAAGACATCAACCATATTGACCCTGAACCTGCTCGCGCTGCCTTCCCCACCCCAACTACCCATCCTTTAAAGTACCATTCAGATCCCACTTCTTCAGTGACATCTTCTTGGACCACACCAACCTGTAGCCGTTTTTCCTTTTCTGAATGTCTATGACAGTATCTGCATCACTCATTGGACCCTAATCATATTTGGTTATATTTCCAAATAGACTGTAAAATCTTTGAGGGCACAGTCTATATAATATTCGTCTGTGTGTGAACAGTTCCTTACACAAGGCTATTATTTAATTAAATATATGTTGATTTGACTGATGTATGTCCATAGATGTGGGCATCAAATGATCAGGTATATGCCTTTGGGAAGGAGTCTAACAGTTTAAACTTCAAGCTATGCATTTGGGCAAAATCCCAAGCAGGAAAGACCCACCAATATCCAGGATTCGATCCCCAGGTCGGCTCCATCGCCAGCCCTCCAGCTGCTGATGCTCTGTATACTGGAGCCGCCGGTCATGGAAAACCACACGGATGATACTCTACGATGAAAGAAGTCCCCAAAGGGAAATTTGTGTCAGGATAGGATTCATCTATTGCCCCTGCCAGGAATGTCCCTCCTCTCCACTCCCACTTTCTATCTAAATGCTAACAAACCTTTAAGGTCTATTTCACATCTTACCTTCTCCATCAAGCTTTCTCTCACCACTCTAGCCTGGAATGATTTCTACCCCTTTTACCTCCTATAGCACTACTGCACCACTCATTATACATTTATTATTCAATTCTTTGTATTATTAAGTCATGTTTTCATCCGTTAGTCTTATCTTCCCTGCTAACTCCTCCTTAAAGGCCAAGAGATTGTTCCTTAAATTTTTGTGTTTCCTCTCAGGACCCATCATAAGAATGCCTTCTATACTCAGTCTCTCAAGAACTACCTTTTGACTGACTGTTGACTGTTGATCTGAAGGAAAAAAAAAGGCAAAGGTCTACAGGAGGAAGCTTTCCAGTCTCTCCTGTGACATGCTCAACCCAAATCCAGGCTTTCAGAGCCTCAGATTGAAGCCCAAGGTTTTCAGGACACCAGATACAAGGAAGTAGAAGGGATTCCAGTTCTACTAACCTTCACATATTTTGTGTTGAGATCCTGAAAATCTCCCAGCTTCCGATTCTCCAGAAGTCGGATTTCATAAGACTGACCTGTAGATGTAATGGCATCTTTTAAGCTTGACTGTCCTCCCAATTTCAGGAGGACTTGGAGATATTTCCAGGATATCTATGTCAGAAAAGATTCAGATAGCCCTTTTCCATGGCACAAGGCAAATACACTCAATAAACAAACTTGAAATAGCTGGTCCAGCATCAGCTCACCTCACACTATATACAAAATTATTATCCAGCTTGGTGAGGGAATGTGGTGTTCTAATTATCTCAATATTTTGATCAAAAGTTACCCTGCATATCCAAATTTCAAAGAATGAGAATTTAATAAATCACACTAAACACTGTAATTCTACTGAACAGTGTTAATCTTTCTCTGCCGATCTGGAATACTCTTTAGTCCTTGTAGAGCTCCCAAAATCATAACCAACAGCACTTAATCAATCATTGTCATGGCCAAACCTTGAAAAACTATACACCCGGCCAAGTTTGTCTTTACTCTTCCAGTTCCTCCTTTTTTCTTTCTACTTCTCCTTTCATTAGGCACCCAGAGGCTTCTGGCATTCCCTAATCCAACTTCATTTATGCCTTAGTGTAGAACCCTCTCTCAAAGGTTCCTGCATTAAGTCACATTTCCATTTACAGGCTAAACACCTTTAACTAAGGATAAAATATATTTTTAGGGGAATGATCCCAACTGGCATGGTACAAGTGGATAGAGCTCAATACCGAGTTGGGAGGAACTGAGTTCAAACCCTGACTCTGACACCAACTAGCTGAGTGAGGATGGGTAATCCTTAACTTCCCCGAGTCTCAGAATCCTTAGAATAATACCTACACCTTATACAGTAGTTACAAGGTTCAAATGAGATAATGCATGTAAGGAACATTGTAGATTTTAAATCACTATTATCTAAGAATCACAGATATGAAGCCAGAAATAATTTAAAGGGGTTTTTGTCTTCCCAATAACCCACAGATCATTGAACTATGAGACACCTACTAATGGACATGAAATAAAGAAATACCAATGAAATTAAAAATTACCAATAGACATGTTTATTATTATTATTATTTATTATATCATTTACAAGTAGCAAATAATTGTTATTAATTAGTGTAGAATGCAACTTTAAGGCAGTCTTCACTGTCCGAGGTGCTACACAGAAGACAAGAGCTATAGAATGACACTGCCCTATCCTAGGACACAGATGCCAGCATCAAATACTCATCTATTACTCTGCCAAAAGAAATACAATCATCAAAGAGACATTTGCCCCTTAAAGAAAAGTGTGGCTTCTTACATATGGTCAGCCAGATTTTAAATATACCAAGTCAATCTTTAAAGGAGAACACAACACCCCCAATGAAACAAGAAAATAAAAGAGAACACATACTAACCGGTTTTTCCAGTTTTCTCACTCCTTATACTTCTCTTTCTCTGTTCCCAACCCCCCATTTGAAGAATGCAGAGCAAAGTATACCATAAGCCAACAAGCAAGTGGTCATTAGCTCAAGTTTACTAGCTCAGCCAGTGGTCAGATGAGCCCTGACCCCAGGAACTGCTATGCAAACAGAGATCCCTTCAAGCAGACACCTCCCACCCTGAAGAAAATATGGAATCTTTCCAGTTTTGAAGCCAGAAATGTCAGAGGTGATAATTTTACAAGAAACGAGTTACTGGATGAGGTATAAGAGTCCAGTATCAGCACTTTCTCCCAAGTGGCATATCATAAGCAGGTAGAACAAATTAGGGTAAACTATCTAGGATTCCAGAGACCAGCTCCCACTTTCTCCTTACAAAGTTTTCTTTTATAACGTCTGTCGGGGCCATCATTTGTCAATCCTATCCATCCCACTTTTGCATAAATCCTTATGGGCTTTCAGTTTAGTGGCACAGTAGATAGAGCACTGGGCCTGGAGTTGGAAAGATTTGACCTCAAATTCAGACTCAGACATTTTAATAGCTGTACAACTCCAGGCATATCACTTTACTTCTGTCAGTCTCAGTTCCTCAACTGTAAAATGGAGATACCCCACATGGTTGTTGCATGTAAACTGTTTAGCACAGTCCCTGCCACATAGTTGGTGCTTAATAAATGCTAGTTCCTTTCCCCTTTCCACTCCTTTCCCTTCCTTTTCCAGTCTCTAGTCTGATCTCTCACCTCCATCCAGTATACTTCCGCCAAGTCTTATTTTCCAAAAATACTTTAAATCGTTTTATTCCTCTACAGAGAAGTTTTCAAAATTTTCCCCTTGCCTAAAGGATAACATCCAAATCTTTAGTCTAGTGTCAAAGGTCCTCCATTATCTAGGCCTAATTTATATGCCTAACTTCGGTCCATGTTATTGTCCAACATAAATAAATTCTTTCTTTGCTCCAGTCAAACTGGCTTACTGTTGCTCCTTCCCCACCCAATACACTGTTGTGCATTCCCACCACCATGTCTTTGCTCATATTGCCCCTTACATCTGCCTATCCAAAGGACACCAATGTCCAAGGCTGAGCTCAAGTTCCACTTCCACTAAGACTTCCCAGTCTACTAAAGGTGTCAAATCATTTCTCCTTCTGCATCTTCATAGTCCTTATTGTTTGTGACTCCACAGGAGAACTAATTATCTTTTGCCTTGCATAGATATGTTTCTCTAGTCTTAACCAATTAAAATATAATGCTCCTGAGGGCAGAGCCTATATTACTTTTTTTTGTATTTCCAGCCCTAGACCAGAGTCTTACATGTAGAAGTCACTTAGTAAATGTTGAGGGGAACATAATTACATTTCTTTGTAATCCTATAGGCTAGGAAAAAAGAAATGTGTGCTAAATGAATACATATTCACTCCCTGACTTTTCCAAAGAAAAGTTATTCCGGAAAATGAGTAAAAACTAGATCAACACCAAAAAAAAAGAGTTCTCCATAATTTTTTCCTAAGGGAAATATAAAGATTCCCTAGTGGAATCTGTTATATGCTTAGAAGGGGCTACTGAGGAAGTCTGCAAAATAATCTTCCCTTAGTGACCTTTTGTCCACTGTTAATCTTGTGACATTTCTGTTCTCCATCTTTTCTTCCTATTTCCCCTTTTTTTTTTTTGCGAAGCAATCAGGACTAAGTGACTCGCCCAGGGTCATACAGCTAGTAGGTATTAAGTGTCTGAGGCCAGATTTGAACTTGGGTCCTCCTGACTCCAGAAGCAGTGTGCCACCTAGCTGCCCTCCTTAGTGACCTTTTGAAACAAGCTAAGTATTCTGGAATGAAAGAAGTTAACAGTCCAACTAAGGGAGAGGAATGATTTTAAGATAAAAATAACCCCTCTTTCAAACAAGATGTCACTATCCTAACCATTAACCATATCTTTCTGACCAGTAAAGGTTAGCAACCAGCTACATATTAATCAGTCAACAACAGTCTACTACCAGTGGAAGTTCTTAGCTACATTTCTCAAATCAGTTTCCCAGTTCTTCTCTCTCAAGAGTATTGTCTCATTCTGCTCCCAAAGAAATTCAGTACCATTTTTAAGCTCTACAGGTTCCTCCGCATTTATTTTCTGGTATGTACAATACTCAAATCATTCAAGTGGTCCCTACTGTTACTTCCTCATGTTTCTTCACATTCTCTTACTTTCCAGAGCAGAACTAGCTTCAGTCTTATTACCAGGCACCTCCTTGAGCCCCTGACTCTAAAAAAAATCATGCTAACCTGGCATGTCTTTCAGATTAAAAATCATAAATAGTAAACTAGAGGGCAAGGGCCACGACCCTTGGAACCCACCTATCCTTGCACATATATAAAAGCTAGTGTTGATTTAGATGTTTAGATCCATATTATCAGAGAAACAAAACGTGAGTTTAACACAATAAAGGAGAGAGATGGCCTAAAAGCTTCATGGCTTTCCCAAAGTTCCTCTCTTCCTAAAAGTTACATTTTTAACAAAATAATTATCAACATGCTGGCTCTGTCTTCTAGTTAATGCTTCCTAACTCTTCCTAGCCTCCAAAATTTTGTATATAACTTGCTCTATCTGGGAAATGAAGACTTTATTTGACCCACAGACACTATGCTTAGATTATATGTGCTTTCGTAAGATGTTATTTTTTTAATCACTCTGAACCTGTGTACAAAGTAGGAAATCCTAAGCAATAATGAAAAATTTTGTCTATTATCCTAATATTTCTACATGTCAGGATCCAGTGTCATTTAGGTCAAATTTCTGGATGCTAGATTGAATTTTCACCTTCTATTCCAATGTGCCATGTGGTAATAAAAAGGTGAAATCTGAAAACTTTGCTAAGAGCTGTTGCACAAATGATCTCATTTGGTCTTCATAACAACCCTATGGTTTAGGCACCACAGGTACCATTATGCTCATTTAACCTTTATTCACTGTTCCACTGTTTATCGTCTTGTACAGACTGAAAATAAAAATTAACAGCCAAAACTGGGGAAACAGACAGAGAGGGGAATCCCTCCCCAATGGAACGTTCTCCAGGAAAGTACTCTTGTCCACAGAAAGGGGATGCCATAAAAGACTGTGTGGGTCACGTGTCTGCAAAATGAATTTTATTCTCCCATTTACTTAACATTATCACTTCATAATATTCCTTCTTCTCTCTTCTTCTGTCTATCCAAATCCTATCCATCCAATCTCTATTATTAAACAACAGTCATTCATTCATTCTTTCGATTGTGACCTCCTTGAGGACAAAAATTATCTTTTGCCTCCTTCTGCATCCCTAGCAGATAGCACAGTGCCTGCAACATAGTAGATGCTTTATAAATATTTATTGACTGACTGACTGATAATCAATTCAAGAAATTATCACATATTTACTGAGTGGTAAGCACTATACTAGCCATTAGGAGATATAAAATTTAAATAAAATATTCTCTCCTGACCTTAAGGAGCTTACAGTCTAGTAGGGGGAGGTAAAACACACAATTAATTAATATCAAAAGATAAAACATAATAGGTTTATAAAAGGGATAAACAAGAAGCTGGGAGTTCTGGAAGGATGTTTTGTGGAGCCCAAATGTCAAGTAG